TTGAAACAGATATACCTTTACATATATGCCAACAATCAAAGCTATGTTTTTTGTCAGTATGCTCTGTTCTCATATACTTCTTTATTTGAAGATGTCTGTCAGTTACCACTTCTGCAATATGGATATTGGCGTCCTGCATGTACTGAAGTCCTCGTTTCAAACCTTCAAGCTCCATATGGTAGCTACTTTTAACCTCATTTGCCTGGAATAATGAGCAATTCATGGTATGATTCAAAGAGATCATTTCAAGGGAAGATATACTAAACAATACTTCACAGAATACACATACAAAAATATTTTCTATTTGTAAACACAACTACATAAATCTGATAGACCCACATACAGTCAGGCTGATGCCTACATTTATACATACATACATATAGTCAGTGCAACCTACTTGTACAAGCCTGATGTCAATGATTTTGTTGTGCGTCAAATCCATAAAGGTATAAGAGCCATATTTAGCAGAGTGGCCTGGAGAATCACACCTTGCATCACCTCCCAGAATAATCTCTTTTCCTTTCAATTGTTCTATGATCTCCAAATGCTGTCGGTGATATTCATCATTGACAGCTGGGATTAGATAGAGCTTCTGATGCCTGTAAAAAGTTCTTTTAGAAATGAATGGCACTCCAAGATGATGCATCATCACTGATACCTTGGCAATACTGCTTCCACTCAAAAATACAGCTGCTGATGCAAGTAGATTACCAATGGGCAGTTGTTGGTGGTATTTTTGGCTGTGCCAGGTAGTTTCATGTCCAGCTGCACAACTCACTGAAATCTTCACCATTGTCCCAATAATTGAAACTATTTTAGCCGTTGCAGATTTCAAACAACCAGGTACAAGGCATAACTGGAATAACGTGAGCAAAATGGTCTGTGGTATGAGAAAATATCTATCCTTGTGGGCAGGCAAGGGTATTTGTGAAACATCTACTATTTCTTCATATTCAATATCACTTTCCTCACTTTCCTCTATATCACTTTCATCTGTTTCATAATCAGATTCTTCAATTTCTTTTGTGCTCTCGATGGTACTCTCCTGAGACAGTACATCATCTTCTTTAAAGCAAAAACAGCGGCAATTGCATGAATCTGTTTGAACAGAGACATCAACAAATTTTTTTGCATCATCATCATTATCACCTGTTACAACAGAATCTGTTATGTCCGCAGTAACCATAGCATCCATCCGATCAGTGGTCTCCTCAACAATAAGCTCATTTTCAGCATTTGAACTCGATTGATGGGATGCAAGTGCTGATTCAATAACCTGGTTGAAAATATTTTTTCTCTCAATAAATTGTGAGTCAATTTTGAATTAATATACATCTTTTTTTTTATAGGTCAATAATTTATATTTAACAGAAATTTGAAATAACGCCCCGAAATTTGACATAACCCCCTTTTTCATACAAGAGAAACTACAGTGTAGACTGCAATGATTTAGTCATATTTCATGTTGTATTTCGTCGTAATATTGCCAATTTCTCATTTCATGTGTTTGCAGAGGTGGTGCCAGAAATCTTCCGACAGAGGGGTTTGAGCTTCCGACAAGGGGGCTAAAATGACTAAAATATGCAATTTTTGTATGTTACTTTGTCAAATTTGCTCCAACAATAACCCAAAATTTCCTCCGATGGGGGGGCTAGATGCTTCCGACGGAGGGGCTGTAGCCCCCCTAGTCCTCCCCTGGCGCCACCACTGTGTGTTTGAGAGTCAAAAATTTCTTGTCCAATTCTGTCTTCAGCGTCTCTATAATTCCTTGAAAATCACGCAGCCCAGTGATTTTTGTATAAGCCCCCCTTCTCTAATAAGCCCCGATTTCTATTAAGCCCCCTGTCTCTAAAACCTCGAATATTAAAAAAACCCGGGGGATTTTAATATAGCTTTACGGTAACTTAGTGACGACAAGGTATAAGAAAATTGTCTTGTACGTAGCAAGGTGTAGTATATTTTTTTACGGAATATACTTCCGCCCCTATGCCCCCGTTACAAAAGGTCGTTTGCCCCCGCACCCCTCCACGGTTTTCCCGATTGAATTAACAGTTGTAGTAAAAAATAAGACTTACTTCTGAATGAATTCTCTTTTTGCGGGCACCAGATATACGCCTTTGAACTTTGTTATATACAAATAACGTGGGGACGGCATCTGGCAAAAGTTGTGCCTTCATCGTCACTTCCAAAGAGTTGTTCACAACAGGCGATCTCAGAAACGATTCATTTGTAAAATGAAGGGAGCAGACTCTGGAGTGTCGACTTGGTACAAAGTTTTCTCGTTTTATTTTGACAAGCCAGGCTTTCCTAACTGCTTTGTCCTCTGGAAATTTATGGAATGATATGTTCTTCCCATCGGCGGTGGCCGCAGCTCTTACTTTTGGTGTGCATCCGTAAGCAATACAGTGGCGCATTTTATTGCTATTTATACTTATTTACAAGAATTACTTAATGTCGAAAACAATTTGCAAAAGAATGACCCGATAACTAACTCTGATTTCGTTTAGAAGCGTGTTGTAAACGTTGATATTGCACTGTATACCAGTAGCAGCAAAAACAAATTATCACAATCTACGTCACGGTGTCACGTGATTCATTTCCCGCCATAATTTGAAAAGGGTTTTTAAGTAGGTAAATGAAATCAGAAAGGAAAAATATTTCAACAGCACTCTCATACAGCATTTTACTTTAAGTTAAAAGAAAAAAAAAATTTGGCGCCAAAAGCGTGTCACTTGTCCTTTAAAGGTTTTCCCGCGATCCTAACAAGTTCACCATGCGATTCATCTAAATGAACCGTAGGAAAAACAAGTAATCACTACACAATTCTGTGTTTATAGCAAATAATTTACCAACTACGTGTAGCAATTATGGTGAGAAGAAAAATGCCCGAAAGGAATGGAAAAGTTCCGACAATTAAAGAGGCAAAACTTCATCGCTCAATGTTATTTTTATTTGGTTTCAATTAGTACCTGAGGATCCACAATCTCTTTCTTTACCTGGTTCAGCTGGTACATCGTTCCTGTCCCATACAAACTTAATGCAGTAGAATTACGATAGAGGGTTGACAGGTTGGTGGTACCATGCTACTAGAGGTGTAGGTACCAATATCACTACTTTTGACAGTTAAAAATCGTTTTGTCGTAAGCACCAGAAATTACGGTCTTTCTAGAATGGAAGAAGAGAAAAGGATTGTCTTTACAGAAATCCGCAAAAGGAAAATAAATGGGTACAATGCTGTAAGTGATGAAGTTGAAAACAACTTAGGGACAGAAGAATGCAAGTCAGGTTGATGAGCATTTGGGTGTTAGTTCCCTAGAAAAGCCTATTTCAATAACAGAACTGGAAGGTTATTTCTAATCATTGCAAATTTTTTGAGAAAAGTTACAGGGGTTCAGCATTTTATCAGGCAAAGCCAGTAAAGAACATCTACCAATGTTAAGCAAAAAGTTTTTTAATGTGAACGGTCAATTTCAAGTGTTCCATGGAACACCCTTAATCGTGTTCATCAACCTTTCAGAGTAAAACGTAATGAAACACCTATGTAATCAAACAAAACTCGTATATTTATCATTCATTTCATGTCTTATCTATACATCCAAAATCTAAGGGCCCTTCCTAACTTGATATGCTGTGATTTGTTCAAATTAATTCCACAACATCATATCCCTCTCAGAAGAGAGTCAGATCTTGGCTTTTAAAAAAGCAAACATTTAAAATACTCACCGTGGTCTGCAGAAACTGGGGAAAATGTTGCGAAGCACAATCCAGGCCTAAAATCAGTCGTTAAAACGAAAGCCCTTACGTTGATAACCAAACAATATTCAAGGGGGCTTATGATGATAAACTACGTTGATGCATGTTAAAATTTACTCTTTATTCTCTGATGTAGGCAGACTTCCCATATCAAACCAGAGAGAAATGAGGTCACCTGTTGCCTTCTTTGGAAATCCTGTCATCAACAAAGAGCTTGCTGCAGTAACGCAGTAGATACAAAGTTTCACCACCCCAAAACTGAAGCCAATCTATGTACTCAGATATCGCCGAGGCTTCTGACAAGCAGTGTCCTCCTCACCTTTTTTGCTAAATAAAAATCAATCAAAATCAGCTCAAATTATTTAGAAGAACATCGGGCGGAAAGTACTGTAGTATGAGTTTGATAATTTTCTGCTTTTTCGTGCTATTGAAAAGAATTTGTACACAAGACTAGGTAAGTTGGATAAGAAATATATTCTACAAATAATTCGACAAATGCTAGCTAATTGCAATTAGACGCAGGTATTTTGATATACCGTAAATCCTCGAATTGCCCCCCCCTAGAACTTCAAATTGTCAATAAGCCCCCCCTCGAATAAGCCCCCACTGTTTCCATAAATTCTCGAATTGGACCCCCTCAATTTGATGAGTTTTGCCGTCTGAGGTTGCCTATGGCGTTCTATTGAATTACCTCCAACAAATTCACACTTTTGGTAGTAATTAATAAAATACTTATAAAGAAATTCCTACTAAAGTAAACGAGGTCTTTTAATAATGTCTTCTTAATAATAATGTCTACAATAATTTTGTAAGCCCCCCCCCCTCGTATAAGCCCCCCCTCGAATAAGCCCCCATCCAAAATTAACAAAAATAAATAAGCCCCCAGGGGGCTAATTACGCATTCTCTGGAAAATGTACTGCCTTTATGATAACACCTTCCTCAGAAAACTTCTCAGCTTTCTAAATCTAATTTCCTGAATTAGAAATTTTTGCACAACTGTTTTGCCCACGATGTCTGCTCCGTGACGTAATTAATTCCCATGGAGATTAAATGCATTTGCAGCAAAGCGCGAAATGAATTGAATGTTTATGTCTAAGGCCTAAAATTTGTATTCGTATGACAGGTGGAACGAAGAAACATCGACTTTAACTGGTTTCATAATTAACTGTTTATCAGCAACGACTTGGCCGATCATTAAAAAGCAGAAATTTTTTACACGTTAAAGAATTGGATAATCTCTTCTACAGTTGATGGAAGCGATCCTGCTGTTCAGCTTGTCCAATTTTCACTTGATACTGGCCTAGCCTCGTAGGATCAAGTTCTACATACAGGCAGCTGTTTTTCAAAGAAGGCGCCTTGGTCGATGGATTTCAGTATTCAATGTATTGCAGACTGACAGCAGATGTTATTTGTAAGCTGTTTAGTTTTTCGCAAATAATTGAGCTAAAACAGCTGTATTGAATTTTGCGAGAATCAGAAAAGAGATCAGTTTCGGAGTATTCTAAGTGGAGGGTTAAGCACTGGGTTCAAATAAGTTTGCATTTGTCATTGATGCTTTGGATTGCAAAACACATTCAGATACCTTCACTGGATCAAAATGAAGTAGAAAATCGTCCAATTTTGCTTCATTGCACTCAAGTTTAGGTTCATAAATTGATATTCAAGTAGAAATGTGCAGAATATAATAGTGCATAAAGAAAATTTCAGAAGTATGTCAGCTTCAAATACTGAAGTATCCTGACGAAGCATACCTCGCAATGCCCGTTGAGCAGTCACCCACAAGTGCCTTTGTTAGGCCAAGACAAGAACAACAACGCACAAGGTTGGCCGAAAAAGTTCAAACTGATAGTTTCTATGGAGCAAAACACATGGTCAAGCCAGATTCAGGGACTGAGGGGAGAGAAAAGGGAAAACAAGAAATCAATAACAATGATGTAATGAGTAAAGGTAGTCTAAAGACCACAGAAATTGCTGTCTCAAGTGGAATACCAAGGAGGAACTTTATGAAAGGTGCTGACACTGATCAGATGTCAAAACAATCCAGAGAATTGCAGAGAAGAGAAAATGCAGAAAAGAGTAGTCCAAAGCCAAGAAGAAAATTACCAGCTGCTCCAACTGGATCATCAATGAGACCTAGAGGTTCAGGAAATGATAGTATCTCTAGGCGATCAACACCAGATCATTCAAGAAGATCAACTCCAGAGAGACAGGGTTACCTAGAAAAGTCCCGTGCAACACCTGAGAATTTACATAAAACTCCTGAAAATCTAAGGAAAGTTGCTGATAGTTTACGGAAAACACCAGAAACTGTAAAAGCTACACAAGATATACCAAGACAATCATTGGAAAATTCAAAGATTCCTCAAGATGCTTTTGGGTATAAAAAGGAAAATACAAGAAGTACACCTGACAATACAAATAAATCCCAAGAGCCAGTGACAAGGAAGCATTCTGATTCAGCTGATAAAAATAGCAAGATATTTAAATTTCGAGAAGGAAGTACTACTTTACCAACAAAATCTTCAGAATCTTCAAAATCCAAAGGACTTCTAAGTAGTATGAAGTATAACAGCCTTCCAAGGCGCCATCCACCAAAAAATCACTCAAAATTTTATTTAGATATTGAAGGGGAAGAATGTTTACAAGTGAAAACAGAAGATCATGCATACAAAATTGAAAAAGATGGCAAGAAAGATTCTAATGAGAAAAATAATGGTGATAATGGTTTAGGGAAAATGTCCTCACTTACAAGGAATGGCAAAATCTTTGGGAGTTATGGAATAAAGAATTCTAGCAATGAATCCTCATCAGCTTTTGAAAACAGTCCTCATGATTTGAAGCAAACACATGTTGCTTTATATAAGTTTATACCAAGACATAAAGATGAGGTAATTCTACAAGAGGGAGATCCTATTCATGTTGTTAAAGTTGGTGATGATTTATGGTTTGAAGGGACTAACTTAGCTTCTGGTAAATCAGGGACATTCCCCAGCCGTTATGTAGCTGACATTTTATCAGGAGGAAATATGTGTAAGTTCTATGAGAAGATTTTAGTTTTTATGCTTAAGTTTGTTTGCCACCCTCTTTGAAAGAACTAAGACATATAATGGGAAGTTATGGTATCACTTTCTTTAGCTAAAAAATACTGAAATATTCTTTGTGTCATATACACTTTTCTTCCATCTTGATTTTTGTTAACACTGCTGGCCTATGATGCAGTATCTATGGAAACACATATAGACTGAAACAAGTCCAAAACAATATCCTCTGATTTGAAAATTAGCTATATCTATTACAAATCATAAGGGAAATGATGTATGTTGAACTGATGCAAAAATGAGATAATGCAAAAGAAAGGCTCAAATTTTGCTAAATAATTCGAATTGTTTTGGCTGGTTTACAAATTAAAGAGCCAAGATTTAATAACAGTGATTACAGCAGCTTATAAATTATTCAATCAAGACTGTTCTATATGTCCTATTTCTATAAATGCTCCTTAATGTAATAAAAAATGATGATGGTGATACCATATTTCTCAAGGAAGTGGATGGTTTGAGGTGCCTTTAGCAAAGAACTCATTTATGACCAGCAACAATTTTGATAGAATTATCCCTACCTGCTTAAGCCCCTTCAATAGAGTACCAAAGTGATGATGTCATAAAATCTATGTATTTCAAGAATTTTCAATTTTGACTAAAAGCTCTTTCCCCATCAAATCTCTGTAACTTTGTGAACCAGGCCAGAATAACAGTAATCCTTTTGCAAACTTGAAATCTTTCATTGGCAATTTTGAGCATATCTAACTAATTATTTGCCCTTTTTCAGATTGTCCAAATAAAAAATTATAAGAGTAGATTTTTGATGATGTCATAATTTGGTACCCAATTAACACAGCTCACTGATAAAAGGAGGCTGTTGCTACCTCTTTGCTACCACCATTATATTCATTAACATATATTAAATTCATTCAGCTGCAGGAATGAATGCAGAGGATCAGCAATTCTTTTTAAGGTATGTAATATGGTCTACTTGATGATTCACATAACATAATCGAAATGACTTTTTAAAACCAAGGTGACTACGGAAATGATGCTTTGAAATTTTGTGCTGTTAGCCATTGAGCTACTTTTTGCATGATTCTTTCATTGATTTTAATACCATGCTTCTTTTATAGTAAGCAAATCTTATTTATAAATTGACTTCAAATTAACTTGTTAACTAAATGTTACAGAAAACATAATTTGAATATCTTTGAATATAAGCTGTAGTCCCATACCCTGAAACAAAACTGGAGTCATTCAGCTCAAAAAACAAAATTTGGAAACTAAGATAAGACTTGGCAAATATGACATAGAAATAGTCTTGTCATATCATAAATAAGAGAAGTATGATTGTGTCATGATTGTTTGAAGCTACTGATTGTTAATAATTTCATTTTGTGCCTTTAGATTCCTTGGATCAGTGGAGGTTGCTGATTATAAGGGTGATGAAATTTTATGCTATGCTATTTCGAAGGTATGAATTGATGTCAGTGTATTTTTTCTATAGCCAAATTGCCACTAATTTTTCTTGTTTCTTCCAAATGCTTCTAGGTGTGGCTGATTAATTTGCTTGCTGACATGACAGTTTGAAAAACCCTGTTCCTTCAAGATTGCCCGCCCCATTTCAAAAACAGAAATCTATGCAAATCATATGCCTGTTTTATCAATCACACCAAACACTAATTTTTTGAATTTTTTGAATATAGCAGAATAGAACCTTCATTTTCTGAATTTGGTTTATTCAAAGTAATTTTCTATGCACACTGAGTGTAATTTCCTCTCACATGGTCTTTATCAGTGGTGTTTCATGCTCTGATCAGTGTTGGATTTAATTTATAATATTGTTCAAAATGTTAACTGGTTATTTTTGCCAGGTTGCATTGATGTCTTTTCCTAACATTCGCTATAAAAAAGCTCTGGTTATCACATTTGTGACTTCTTCTTAGATGTAGCACTTTTTTGTGAAAAAACATGATGGCTCAATCTTGAACACAGTAATGTATGTGCCTAATTTGTGTTCAACCATTTCTATATTTCTATTTGATATATTCACAGATTGTAAACCAAAGAGCCATGCTATCATCAGCCACTCCTCCTGCTTGCACACTACAAGTCTCCTCAAGAGGAATAAGGGTCTGTGACTTTGATGAAAAGCAGCAGTCTTTGAAATCTTCTCCAAAAGCACCAAAGAAAAATAAAGGAAAAGACAAAGAAAAGCTGAAGGTGACAAATCAGCAACTACATTTTAAAAATTTTTGTAGTGAAAGTTAAATGCATAGGCAGGGGCGTTGCCAAAGGGGGGATGCGGTACCCCTAACTTTTAGTCCGTCTGCACATTAAGGATTTTTGCCAGGCATAAGAAGCATTTTTCAAGCTCATCAAGTAACTTTTTTGCAATAGTTGAACTTTGAAAGTATGGCATTAAAGAATGAACTTTGAAACAGAAATGCATTAAAGAAGCAGTATTTATCTTTTGACCACACCCATAAAGTGTGAGACACACCCTTTTTTGTTGCCAAAAACTACTTTATCCCTCCTAAAACATTTTTTGGCTTTGCCCCTGTGCATAGGAGAAACCGATAAGTCCTGTGCATAGGAGAATCCAATAAGTCTTATGCAGGGCTGCCAGATGCAGATTTGAAAAGGGGAAACCAAAACGAATAAAAAGGGCACAAAATCATTTTTCCAGAATCATTTGTATGTGCCAAAAATGATACACCTTTCATGGTGATTTAGACAAAAGATAAAACACATTGCACATAGTAAGAACTATCTTCACTGAAACAGTGGCGGATTCAGACCGGGTTCCAAGGGTTCTGGAACCCTGTCAAATTTTCCAAAGAAACATAACACCAGTTTTCCCTTTACTTTCAAATAAATCGCAACTTGTCCCAACGTCAAATGGCCTATTGTACCAAAACCTTTGCTGCTCTCTAAATATGGTATTGTGAAAGAAAGGAACCCTGTCGTAGCCATGGTAATCTTTTGTAGCGTATTATATTCCTCTAAAGAAAGGAACCCTGTCGTAGCCATGGCAACCCTTTGTACCATATTGTATTTTTTAAGAAAGGAACCCTGTCGTAGCCATGGCAATCGATTGTCTTATATTATTTTTGCTACAAACAAAAGAACCCACTTGGAACCCATCTCACGTACTCATTGGAACTTATTTAAACCGCTGACCATACATGACCAACTGTGGGAGTGACCATCGACTACTGTTTTGCAAAGTAAAAATAAAACTGAAGAAGCTACAACAAGGAAAAGCAACACCAAAATTAAACTATGACCTATTACAAAAAGACCCGGAAATTAAGCAAAGTTATACAGTTAAAGTGAAGAATAGATTTGAATCACTAAGAGTGGAAGAAACATCAAAATGGAATATATTCAAAGAAGCGTTGGTAACATCAGCGAAAGAAGTCATTCCGAAAAAAGAAAGACCTTGCAAACAAAAGTGGATGACAGTCGAGATTCTAAATCTTATGAGAAAAAGACAATCTATCTTCAATAGAGAAAGCCAAGAATACAAAGACATAGACAGGCAGATTAAATACAAATGTAGACAAGAGAAAGACTCCTGGTATAACAAGAAATGCGAAGAAATTGAAAGATGGGAAAGATCAAACTCACCAATAATGCACAATGAGATAAAAGAAATAATGGGGAAAAAAGCATGCTCATCTTCAGGTTGTATAAAAGCAAAAAATGGCGACCTCATCATGGACAAATCAAAAATGCTGGAAAGATGGACCGAGTATATTGGGGATCTTTTCCAAGATAATAGGGGCGAGAAGCCAGTTATTAAGAAAAACATCGATGGTCCGAAGATTCTAATATCTGAAGTGCGCACAGCCATGTCAAAGATGAAAAACAACAAAGCGGCAGGACCAGATGAGATCGTGGCAGAAATGGTATCAGCATTGGACGATTTCGGACTTCAGAAGCTCACGGAATGCTTAAACGAAATCTATGATACTGGAGAAATCCCAGAGGAATTAAGCAAATCGATCTTCATCGCTCTCCCAAAGAAAGCAGGGGCAATAGAATGTGAGCTTCACAGAACCATTAGCCTAATGAGTCATATCATCAAGATTTTGCTCAGGATAATTATGTTAAGAGCAAGAAGTAGAATTATGCCTGAGATTGGAGAGGAACAATGTGGTTTTGTCCAGGACGCAGGCACAAGGAACGCAATATTCATGCTACGTACGATGTCAGAGAGAGCCATAGAAATGCAAAAAGACCTGTATATTTGTTTCATCGACTACACAAAAGCTTTCGATAAAGTAAAACATGAAGAACTTCTGAAATTGCTAGAATGTTTTGATCTATTTGGGAAAGACATACGAATTCTTAGAAACTTGCATTGGGAACAAACAGCATGTATAAGAATTGGAAACGATAGAAGTAACTTTACCAAAATCCAGAGAGGAGTTCGCCAAGGATGCGTTTTCTCCCCAGATCTTTTTAATATCTACAGCGAGATGATCTTAAGGGAGATAGAAGGCATGGAAGGCTTCATCATTGCTGGGCATAATCTCAATAACTTGAGGTACGCCGATGACACGGTCTTAATAGCCCAATCTGAAGAAAAGCTACAAAATCTTCTGACTAAGGTAGTAGAAGAAAGTAAGAAAAAAGGTTTAACCATCAATTGTAAAAAGACAGAATGTATGGTAATTAGCAAGCAATCTGACCAGCTATGCAGACTAAAAATAGAGGACACTGAAATAAAGCAAGTAAAGTCATTCAATTACCTAGGTAGCCTAATAACAGACGATGGAAAATGCGACTCCGAGATCAAGCGCAGAATTGGGATGTCTAAGCAAGCTTTTCAGAAGTTAAAGAGAGTGTTGAAAGATAGAAAAATGTCGTTGGGAACTAGGAAAAGGATTCTACGCTGCTATGTTTATTCCATCTTAACATATGGCAACGAATGCTGGACAATTTCAGCCGGTATGGAGAGCAGGATCGAAGCCGTTGAGATGTGGTTCCTCAGAAGGATGTTGAGAATATCATGGGTGGACCATATATCAAATGAAGAAGTATTGAAAAGAGCCGGAGAAGAAAGAAAGCTAAATAAAATGATTAGAAAGAGACAGGCCGAATTCATTGGGCATATCATGAGAAAAGAGGGTTTAGAAGAGATTATTATCACAGGCAAGATAGAAGGAAAGAGAGGAAGGGGAAGACCTCGGCTGAACTACCTGACAAGTCTCAGCAAGTGGATGCAAGATCAAGTTCCCGAGGAACAGCAAGGAAGGTATAAGGTCCAGAGTCTGACAAGAACCTGTAAGGACAGAAAGTTGTGGAAATCCATGGTCGCCTACGTCCACAAGGGACATGGTACTTAGATAGATAGATAGATAGATAGATAGATAGATAGATAGATAGATAGACCATACATGCTTTCTGTTGTCATAATGGCGACGTGAAGCTGCGAGTGACTGCTCGAAGACGAGAGCTTGTTTTAAGCCCTCAAACAGGAAGAGATCAGCACCTGAAGATCAATGAAATTTGATAATCGTATGGAAGAGTGCTATGAATTTTCAACAAAGCTTTTCAAACACGCCTCGCCAACTATTTGCTCATTTTTCTCGACTGGCCTAGCCAACCCGGAGAAAAAAAATCACCGCTTTTTTGCTCATGGATCAAGCGAAAAGTCCATTTCAGATAGTTGTAAAGTGGCGTTCACGAAAGAATGCGTTGCAATTAGCAGCAGAGAATTCTTGGCAGGAACTCAGGAATGTCGAAGATATTTTCTCTTTGACGTAGAAAGCTTATAGAACTCTTGAAGCCCTATACATAATATATTTATCTATACAGTGAGAGAACTTTATTAAGGTAAAATAATAGACTTTAGAGAAGGGGATAAGATGATTTCATATGTCATAATTTGCACTTTTTAATAATTCAGTTTGTTTGCTATATATGATGAGAGGCTTTGTCAATTTTTATCCATTTTTGAAAATCATGGTGACTATTTGTAAATTTGTCTTGTTTATTATTTTGTAATATTTATAGGTAGCATTAATTTCACTCAAATCTTGCATATGTCCCGCTGTAACCAGCTAGAGGAATTTATTAAGGTCCTCTGTTTGGCAAGAAATCGAAACCATTCTTTTAGAATTCATAATTACAATTCCTGGTTTGGTTTACAGATTTATTTTTTTACTTGGAATCATGATGAAATAATATATCTTGTTAAAATCAAATCTTGCAATTGTGAGTCTTATCAAAAAGCGAAACTGGGCGTCGCCCAACTTTGGAAAAAGTCAAGGGCGTTGTCAGAAAAATATGGGACCACGCCCATATTGGAACCCACTCAAATTTTTGTCTAGATCCGCCACTGCACTGAAAGGAGATGTGGCTATGTACTCTTTTTAGGAACCATGCACTCTTGATCATACTCAACTGTAAACTCCCAATCTCATAGGCTTTGAAGTTGTAATGAATTGTACATGGAAGTTTTTTGTAGTGTAAATCCTTCTTCCATGTACAATTCATATTTCTATCACAATATGTTTATCTTTCTTATAATTTACATTGTAAGTGAATTTGGCCCTGGTTAAACGGAAGGCTCACACCTTTCCCCCATACTTGTGACAGGTGCAATAGACTCAAAAAAATGTTCAGATTTTTTGCAACATACACTTTGATGCAATCAATTATACAAAATTTATAAAAAGGCTAAAAATTTAAACACATAATATGATGTAAGAAACTTGCAGAAATTTTCAAAATTTTAGTGTCTATTTAATTCAAAGCAAATTCCAGTCCCTATCTCTTTCAAAGTTTCAGCCTTTTATGATTATCTAGAGCCTATTCAAATAATGACTTGACCTTCTTATTTTTACATTTAAGCAATTTAGTCCCCTTTGGTTTACACACCTTTCCATCCCTATGTCACTTGAAACACATACCATAACCAAATTAATCTGCAACATTTATTAGGTTTATCACATTAGTTTTTGTTTGTATATCAAAAGAATCATGCATTGGTTAAGTCGTCCTTGGGTAATTGATGAACCAAATAAGTTTTCTCCTTGTTAACTGATATTGTTCATCACAGGAGCTTGCACTTTTTGCATCATGACCAAGTAAAAATTTAAGGAAATTCCAGTGAAAAGTTCTCCAACAATAATAAGATTTAGGTTATTTTACTTAGCTTCTAAAGGCAAAATATCTGCCAGTGAAAAATGCACACAATATATTTTCTCAGAAAGCACACTTTTCACATTTTTTTTAAATCAAGGGAGGCCTGTGCCTTCATGCCCCCTGGCTCTAGTGGCCCTGTTATGTGACAAGAATGTTCTTCTCAAAAATTATGTTGAAAGAAATTCAATGTCTCAGGTTTACGTTTAACTGGGCATAAACAAATAATAACTTCGTAGGCACTTAAATATATGAGAAGCTTATGTTAAACTTTGTTGAGGCTAAAGCCATGCACTGAATAATTTTCTATATTATGTCTTTCTCCCTTTCTTTGATATTTTTCTATGATTCAAGTAAAACATTTTTCTCTGTCTCATCCTTGCAGTCGTGTTTTTTCATCCTGACTAGGCTTGAAGTTAAATCATGTGGAAAACTTGGGAAGAATGGCAGGGTTTATTCTTAAAGTGATAGAAGGAACACTTCCCTCTTTGATAAACCAGGTCTCTCCCTGGTTTATTAAATTTTAACCACTAAAAGCCACACCCTTGTTAACTCTCTAGTCAGCTTGAAAAAGTCCACTCCCGGGATAAGCATGTTAGTCTTTTCTTGGTGTCTTTTCAAATCATGAAAGAAATTTGTAGTAACTTTTTGTTTATAAGATCTTCTTTTTTTCAGGATCAAAGAGAGAATCAGCCTACACCAACTCACTTCTTCTCATTAAAGAATGTAACATTTTGTGGAAACCACCCAAGAGATAGAAGGTAAATTTTAAGATCATTTGAATAATGAATTTGCAAGGTCTTATTACTCATTGTATCAAATAAGCAAAAAAGAAGCTTTGTCCAGTTCTAAATGCCAAAAAGGCTAACTACAAACATCCAAATAATGCCAGAAAGTCAACTTTTTGGTATTGTTTTTATGTGTTTACTGTGAGGGCTTTACTAGCCCTTTTGTGAGGCTAAAGTCCTATGTACTTTTGATGAGGCTGTTTGCATTGTCCAGTACTGTTTATGCTGTTACGGTTTTTAAGAATTTGCTCTGACGTGGCCTCATTTATTCTGTTTAGCTGCTCCATTTACGCTGTACTGAGTGAACCTATAAAGCCATGCTGGTCATTGTTTTAGTTGGAACGCTAGGAAAAGGCTTAAAGGCCTTTAGCAAAGTCCTAATGTTAGACCTTGTTCAAGGGAATGGGAGAAGGGGTTAGAAAGAAAATGTCAAGCTAGTTTATTTTTATCATATCCCAAAATCAACAATCTACTGATGTAAGACCTTTAATTTTCAGTACAGGCTATTCATACTGACACAACTTCACATGCAAGAACGACTTTTTACTATTTTTCCTTCTCCTGGGATAAAATAAATTGAGTTGTGAATAGTCTGGGAAACAGGTAGGGGGTAGAGTATTCCAAAGTTTACAAGATCTAGGGAGGAAGGAAGAGTTGTGGGATTGAGTTTGTGCGTTTGGCAAAGGGACTTTGAAAGGATGAGCATCAGAAGTGGTATTGCAGCTTTGTAAAGAGGTTTTGAATTCATATTAGTTTAAGGTAATAAATCTGTTTCACTAGGATGCCAATCCCTTGCTTAGAAAATACCTAACCTGAAAAAATTAGCTTTTAGTCAAAAATGTGTTTTGTTATGGTAATGTTTGTTTTTTATTTGCCTTTATACTTGAAGCGTTTGACTTGAATTTACTCCGCTTTGTGAAATGCACACAACAAACCTTAACATTAATAAAAAGACTCAACACGATAATGTAAAGTAGCATGGCATTAGGTGCAATTCTGAGATGATGAATGGTTGCTGCTTTTGACCATTCATTTAATTTTTTTAATCATATTGAAAAAGAATGAGAGATGTACATTTTCTACTTTTTGTACAGTCAGTCAATGCAAGTTTTATTTTAAAGGTACTTTGGGTTTATCACCAAGCATCCTGATGATCACAGGTTTGCCTGTCATGTCTTTATGTCAAACTTTTCAACAGATCCAGTTGCTCAAGCAGTAGGGTGAGCTATTTTCAGATGATAGTCTTTTAACGCCTTCTTTTTAACTTTTAAATCACATTTTAATGAGTCTAGAGCTGTGTCTTTCCTTACTCCAAGGTCTGAGCCAATCAGTTTCCAGCTTCCAGCAAGCAAAACCTTTGCAGAGGTCAGGGCAAGGGCAGCGAGTTTCAAGTGCCATTTGCTTAAGTGACCTTTTCTCTTTATCCCTAAGCCAAAATGTTTTATTTTCAACTGATGAATTGTATATTTTACTCCTTTTAAGTTATTTCATTTTTCTTGTTGCAGAGATTGCTTCAAGGCATTCTATTCACAGTATTTAGACTACAGAGCACCAACTGAGGATATTTACATGGAATAGTGGCTTGAAGAATTTGGTACAGTGGTCAATAGGAATAAATTATTGTGGAAATTTAGTCTGCATCTATATTGCCTTGCATTGTGGTGTCAAAGTAATTAACCTTAAAAGCGTAAATTTTGAAGGTATCTATAAATCCATTATCTGTATCTTGCGTTGCATCATTTTCAGCAATTCATTGTCATCAAATTGTCATGTGATGTTCTGCAGATGATGACTTTGAAGAGGGAAATTGATACTGGAGCCTTAATGTTTATAACCAGTACCATAGTTAAAAATAAATGTATAGTTTTCTGTAAATTGGGCTCATGGTGTGAAATAAACATTCCTGCGATGGGTTGGGCCTTGCTGTCTTCAGGTTCCAATATCTGCTCAAAAATATATACCTACTTAATATTTGCATGTTGTGTAATGTTTACATTGTAGCCCTTTCTTGTATGCTTAAAGGCTAGCACAATTCATTTATAAATAAAATTATGTACTTTAGAGAATGTATAGAATTGCAATTTAGGCATTTGTTTTGTATTATGCATTTTTATTCTATTATGTTAAACTATGGTCTATCTATCCTAATCTGTCCAAAGGGAGTCTCTAATTGTTTCCATGCAACACTGTCAGCTGCAGTTTGTCACTGGGATGTCTTCTTAAGGGAGTCTGTAATTATTTCATGCAACAATGTCTGTTTCACTCTGTCATAGGGTTGTCAGAAACAATCCTTTATTTTCTGAGAACAAATGTTTTGAATGTTTATACACATCAGAGTAAGATATTGGTTTTGCAGTCTATACATTGGATACAAAGCGAAAACTTTCAATCCCAAGTTTGTTTAGCATAGATAAAGACTTATTAGTCTCCTTGATGATACTAAGTAAAAACTAATTATTTGAGCACTGTAACAAAGTTGCCTATAATGCTAGATGTGAACTTTAATTATTTGTAGTTTCAGTTAAATTTATTAATTTATAGAGGTGTATCCTTATTAAATATTTTTTACATGTTTTGCCGGTTCAAACTGTATGAATTCATGTATGTTGCAAAAGTTGTGTAGAAGAAGAACAGAAGATATTGCCAGTATTCAGCAGATGCTCTCTTCTTTTTATCAATAAAAATTCTTCTTTTTATTCTGGCCATTGTGTTTATTGCATTATGACCTTATGTTTTTGGGATAAAAAAAATTGCCTAAGCAATTTTATTGTGGCTCCTTAATTAACATATTTACATCACTAAGTCTTAGAAAGGCACTTTCCTTTGTTTGAAATGCCTTCCGAGTTCTAGCAATCTATGCCTTTATCCACTCACAAACAAGTTGCCAGAATTTCATCAAATGGAATCAAATGTGATAAGCTATTCTTTTGACATGGCACTTTTACTTAGAAAACAGAAAAAACAGAGAGTGTTTCACCACAGTACCAAGAGGTGCATCTCAGGGAAGCTTTTTGTATGTTCTCAATGTGGGTATTGAAAGTAGTGACAGCCTTCAGAAATAAAGATAAATTTTAAAGCTCAATCAATGACAGAATCTTCTTGCAGTGCCAACAGAGGATTAGATGTTAGAATTTAAAAAATTTAAGAAAATAGAAATGCTTTTCAATATCTGTAGCAAAAGCACATTGGTTTTATTTATGGGTAAGCTGCTGTTGCTGATCACAGACTACTTTAAAAGGTAGATTTGTATCTACAAAAAGCAAAATGTGAAGCAGCTAAGTTATTTGTTTGAAGGCCAATATCTCAATTTCAATGGTCCTTAAAACCATGTTTAAAGATTTAGCCTACTGTGATATGCATTTAAAGATTGTGTTCAGAATTTATTGTTGAACATAATCTTTTGATGAAGCTGCAGAAAAAGAAAGGGCACATTTTCATAAGCATCACTACAGAAATTGAAAACATTACAAAAAACTAATAAAATGCTGGTGCACCTCTTTAATGCAGTTAATACTACTGAAGAATAATAAACACCTTTGGAGAGTCTGTTGAGAAGTAGGGATGTGGGATGTTAACAGAATGTCACTGTGAAAGATGATATCATTTGATTAATGAAGTCATTGGGTGCTGGGAGGTAGAAAACAGATTAGTTTGAAATACAGTTTATGCTGTTTTATATTGCCTTGTTTAGAGTAAATATCATCTAAAGGTTAAATTATCAAGCTACTGTGTATGGAAATAGAGACATTCGGAATTGTTATGCTGCATTATTACAAGAAATTAGTGTTCCTGTTAGCAATAAGGGACTCAAAGGGGGAAGAAAGATTGCTTTTAACCCTTAAAATGACTGAACATGGTCCTGCTGATGATTACATACATTGTTTATTGTAAAGAAAACCATGCAAAATGAAGAACAAATTATGAGTTAGATATAAATACAAATGACTGTTCTTGTAGTTCAAAACTAGATACAGTTCTGGATGTGACATGGTTATAGCAACCAAACGATGTATACCGATGTTAGAAATGAGCTTTGGGGTCAGTCCACATGGCGATTTGGTCTTTGATTTGGTTGATGAGGATGTGAGACAGTATCACACCCATAAGCTAAAAAGGGGTAAAGTTGATATCATTATAAAAGAAAGTGCTAGTATTAAACCTTGAGTGAACAACAATGTATGGATCACCAATGGAAAATATTATGTATCAGCAGAGATATGACACAAACTCATTCTAGTAATGTTTACCATAGCCTAAACAGACCAGGCAATCAAAATGCAATGTTCGCATTTTCACATATAGAACTTGAATATGCTACAAGAACAAACATGGACAACAGCTGGATACAAACTAACATTAACAATTGATTGTCTACAAATCTTTGATTTATTTGTCTTAGCTGAAGGCTCGGCACAAACGCCCATTAGGAAGAATTTCTAGCTAGGACTTATTTAATGGGTCTCTCAAGAAACCAAGATAACAGTTCTCAGGCCTTGCTCTAAATAAAATGAAGGTGCTCCATAAAAAGAGCCCCTTAGAAACTCTAGGCGCTCTATTTCGCACCTCTAAGTAAATTTCCTTGAGAGCATCCTTCGAGAGCTTTAGGAGATCGAGAGCTTCATATCAAAAGCTTCGGAAGAATGTTAATTATGAAATTCAACGGTGATACCAGAAAGCACCATAATATGAAATAACAAAACATGCAACAAACACTATGTTAATATAAATATAGAAATATAATAGAATAAAGTCGCAAAATTGTTAGGATTTTTCTAGATATGTAAGTTGCCATCATTCGATGAGCTTCTATCAGTGTCAGTATCACTACTGTTATGCTCAGCTTCACATATTGCTTCATCAAAACGCATGGCTTTAAATCTCACATTCAACTTTGTTTCCTTTTTTCATGTTATCCATTCTATAAGAAACGCTAAAACATCTACTACTCGCAAAAGCAAATTAAAAATGAAAAGCAATGCGATAATTTGGACGGAAACGTGATCGCTGATTTGCACAGGCGCTTTTAAGTTATTAAAAAAACTGAAAATAATATATACTTCAATAGAAGATTAACGCTTGCTCGAAAATCAAATAAATCTGCCGGAGAATATGCTTGATGGCCTGTGTCCTTGATGGTTATTAGAGGGTTATTAGAAAAAAAATGATATTGAAAACCCAACGTTGAATTTGCTGAATTTTTTCTTAAGGGGTAATCTTACGCAAATCATAATATTGCGATCTGTTGGGAAGATTGTTTATGCTTGATCAAGTTGATTCAACAAATTCCAAAAATTTATTTTGCTCCGTGTTAATATTGTTTTTACGTTTTGAGGGGCTCTATAAATCGCTCTCCAAGGCTTTTTTTGGGTGCGCTCTAGGCGCGCGCGCTCGATCGAGCGCCTTTCCGGGCAAGGCCTGAGTTCTTGTCAATAATGTTGCTGCTACCATTTCCAGGAGATTAATGGGTCAGCATTATTTCATTTGCTATTAATAGTTTCTGTATGAAATGTTGTGAAACTGTCTTAGAGAGAGACATTAAAATCTATTCAAATTTTTTGACAGATGTATTTAAAGGAAAATAGCCATTTATAACTAAACATTTAATCTTTTATTTTTTGACCTTAGCTTCATCCTTTCCTATTTCATAAACATGCAGGCAAATGCTTTCAACTGCATTTTTAATTCCACTTTGATATATTCTGCATAAAATACCTATAATTATCTTTTTTTAGAAATTCAATGTCATATGAATGTGATCACATGAAAATCTTACCAGAGGTAAGGAGAATGCCACAGCCGCCCCTGCCACTGCTGCAAGGTTGTCTTTAAAGAACTTTATCAATACATCCATGCATGTATCAAGTTGAAGCTGTTCACCCATTTTCAAACGCTGACAGACAAGAAAGGAATTAGAAACTGTGCAAAATTGGCATATTACCACATATAAGGTAACAAATATTTAAAATTAGAAGCAAATTTAAGTTCTATGTGATAAATCTGTAACTGTGTGAATATAATGTACTGTTTGTGTTTTTGTTTGATTTATTGCTAACAGCAAATGTCAGTTTAGTTCTCTGTAAAAGGGCCTTAAGAGTGGGCCAGGTAAATGTTCAATGATAAAAGTGCTCAATGACAATCAATGATAACACTAACCAGTCTATTCCTTCGTTGTCCATATCCACATTGCTTGTTTCTTTGGAACTGAAATAATAAAATACTGAAATATTAAACTTATTTGGAAAATTAGGAGATTCATTTTTTGCTAAATTCTAGTTTAAGTAAATCTTTCTTTATTATATAAATTATAAATCTGAAATATTAATGATATAAATTAGCAGAAAAAAACCATCTCCTCTTTTTAATTAACAAAAATTCTAAATGGATGTTAACTCAACTCAACTTAGTTAACTCAACTCAACTTACTTACATCCATTTAGAATTTTTGCATTTTGTTTCATCTTTTTGTAATCTAATGTCAAACTTGAACGTCTTAATTCAAATTGGCTGAAGATTCAGCACAATCAGATGAAATAAGTACCAAAAAGAGTCATTTCTGCTATTAAACTTAAATTTTATACTGTTATAAAATTGCCTTCCAAGAGAATTTTGAAATAGAATAAAGGTGGGTACATCTTTTTCTTCTTGACTCACTGTTAAAAAATAAAAGTGATTTAATTGTTAACCTTTCTTAGGCAACACGACCAAGGAACTCCACAAGACTGGATAGTTGTGGCACCACAACTGTAGTATGGATTCCAGTCCCAATCATCTGTGTTTGTGCTTCCACAGCATTTGAACTAAGAGAGAAGAACAGTAATTGCAAATAAACAAATAAATATATAATCATTTAAATGGCTCTTTTCCAAAAACATTATTTTACTGTGGTTCAACTTTGATAGCGTAGCTTAATTTTACTTATTTAATGGAAAACAACATCAGTCATCTCTAATTTAGTATATAGATTTTGAAAAAACATCAATAGTATGAAAGATTACATTCATTGTAGAGAAGCAACATTATTTAAAACCATACCTCATACTGAATTCTGTCAATCAAGTTTCTCAAATCTTGGTTACTGGTATACTTTTTTATGGAGGTTTGGACTTTGTTGTTTAGTAGTCTCTTTGTCTAGATTAAAGAACATATAAACAAGTAAAAAACAGCAAAGTATACCTACTATCCTTCAAAATTGCCTGATGAGCAAATAAAGAACAAAACTTGCAGTATCAACTTAAAGGTGCCCTGTTCTACATACCAAGCATGTACAGCTCTGCCAAAAAACCATTGAGCATTTTAAGACAGACAAGTAAAAGTAATTTTCATTTCATGTTTATGATGCTTCACACATTAGCAAAAAACATGAAAACTATGCACATTTATTTGTCTTCATAGTTTTGAACCAGTATTCAATAGTTGGTAACTAATAATCTACTTGCTAAATGCTTGTGACCAAAAGAAGTATTTTTTTATCATAATAAAAATAAATACAAAAGGAATTGATCATTATTGAGATGGAGGCAAAAAACATAGCGTTATCAAGTTGCCTTCACACCCAACATTACAAATATTCCAAAACTTAACGCTATAAATACACTATAAATACACAATACAGAACAATACAGAACAACACAGCACAATACAATATAATACAGTACAAATACAGTACAATACTGTACAAAATGCAACTTTTGTATATATAGGTCATCATGTTAGTTCAGGACCACAGAATTCAATTTACCAGATAAGATATAGCAGACAACAACTTAGGAGCATAAATTGAAATTGTTTAATTTGCTCGATGAAGTAAGTATTTGAAAAGTATATAGCACATATGAAAAAAGAAGTATTTTAAAAGTATATAGCAATTGGAGATTCTTGTTCACCATCTTGTGATATATATTTACTTTGATTTGCTTTTGAAGCAAGGGGACAAGTTCTATTAACTCTAGTTGTGTAATAGATAAATAACGTTTCACAGAAAACAAGATGATTGAATTTTATAGACAGGCAAATACATGTATAAATTTTTCATTAGCTAGGAGTTTCATTTATGTATAAACTATTTATCGATGTATAATTAAATATATATATATATATATATATATGATATATGTGTTGGCACAGAAAGCAAAAAAGACATTTTCCTTATACAAGAAAAAATTGGTAGGAAGAACAGCAGGGATATCTTGTTTGCTATTGCTTGGAAGATGATGAATAAAAAAAATTTCACATGACTTAGCAAGGAATTTAACAAACTAGAAAGTAGAGGTATTTATACATACTTCAGGCCAGAAGGAGAATGCTAGTATTCCTCCAATCAATTCAAGTAGAAGGACCAGCACCAAACAAATTTTGTACTGCAAAGGAAATCAAGATCCCAATCAATTTTGGGTAAAAATGAGAACAAGTTCCAATGTACAGCTATCAACACATATGAACTTAGAACTCTTCATGTTTGCCAGGTAATCTCCAAGGATAAAATGTTTATCCATGTCTCTCAATTTGAATAAAACACTTTAAAATTGTTTGGAGTACTCATCTAACCTCTGCTCATGGTGGAGCAATCGCTTTTACCATATTCCAGTAAAAAGATATTTTGAACAGGAAGTGATGTCATCAATATTTAAGATTTTGAATTAAACTGTTCATGAAACCTCAATGCCAGTCTGAATAATTCATGCTAAGGTAAAATTTGACATGTGTGATAATGAAACTTTCTTATTTTTGTGATAGAATAGTTATGAAAAGTTTCAGGTGAACCAAGTTCTTTATAGCCAGCATGATGCACCAAACAAATCATTTTGAGCATAAAGTATCAATTTCTTTGAGCATGTTCTGTACTTCTAAGGGTACTGCCCCATAAATCTCAAATCTTGAGTCATTTACATAATCTTAAATGCAACTCATTAAATTTTCAACTATGCTAATAAACTTTTACAGAACTGTTTCATGTTTGTAAAGTGTTGATTAGTCTTTGTAATATGCAATTGTGCAATTGATTGCACATGCACACCTCCACACATGCTCAGTTTAACCAAGGTGTGCAAGGCATCGCACATGCAAAACGAAAAGTTTCCAAGGAAAATTTCTTTAAAATTTAACAGCCTTAAATTTTGAAGATATTTTTCGATTGTTTCTAAAGTAGCAGGAAGTCAAGTTTCAAAATTTAAAGGCCGTTCTGTCTGTTTTGTGGAAATCAATATCATGGTCCATATAATCGTGAAAAATAGACTGATGAAACAGTAAAATTTTTTGTGTGATGAATATCCGCAAAAAGTAGGGTCTATAAACAGTTGAGAAAATTTTTCAGTTCAGAAAACTTGCTCACCAACGCACACCATTGCACATTCAAGGAAATTCAGATGTGTGAAACGACACACACAGTCTACTTTCCTAATATCAACATCAAGTCTAATAGTTTTTTCTCTATTATTTAGCATTTAGAACCCTGCCATATCAAATATAGGTAATGCATTGAAACTTACTGTTGTCAGAAGACAAATGTTTTCTCTCAATGCCCCAACACTTCCACAAAAGGACACAATGAAGATACAAACACCAACAGCTATGATGATGATTGCTGGATCAGTTGTGAAATCAGATACTTCTTCATAGCCTTTCTTTTGCAACACAACCCATGCTCCTATGCCAACAAATGCACCTCCAATTAACTAAAAGGAACAATATAAAATATCATCTCAATCATGAAATTTGCACCTCAGTCACACACTAGAATAAAGCTATAATACATCACTGCTATCAAATTCAGATAAGTTCTTTTTTATTTCGTTTTAAGTAGCAGAAATGAAATATAATATATTTAAGCCCCAGCAGTTGATATAAAAGAAGACCCTAAATTTGATGTTAAATTGTACCAGTGATGGTTTCAGACCATGTAATCTTACTTTTAGAATGTGCATATACTGTTAATACATATTCAAGCGTCTATTTCTTTGATTATCGATTCAGAAAGTCGCCAAATTCTCTTTAAATAGGCACGTCAATATCAATAACATATTTCTGGATGGGAAGCTGTGGTAATTGACGATATTACTGCCTCAAAGTAACTGCAAAGTTATTCCCAAATAATCCGAACTTTTATTTAATAAACAGCACATTACAGTCTCCATGCAGTCAGCTCTTATATACACTGAATTACATTCGAAGGCCTGATTTGCAACGCAATTTCTCAGAAGATACAGACATAATCAGTAGAGGTGTGGTAAACAAAACTCACCCAGAAGAAACTCGTGAAAGCAAACAAGCAGTACTTTAGCGGTCTGCTTATTTTGCTAGGCGGAAGGTCTGTTTCATCAAAGTCATCTACTTTCGATGTAAATGGTGCTCTTTCCATAATTAAAGGCGAAGAATTAAATTTTACAGCTTGATGCAGCTCAGCGTAACTTCTTCAGCACCTTTTGAATGTGTTGTGCCTAAAATGAGGCGACAGCGCATGCGTCGTGAGTCATAAGGCGGTTCTGTTCTTGGGTTGTTCGCATTTCGCATTTTTGGAAAGTGATAAAGATTCGAGTTTTTTCGTATGTACGAACCGACAAGCCTAGCGTTGTTTTCTGTTTTCGGAGGTACTTTGTATTATCGTAGAACTCTCTTCCACAGTGGCTGGCGGGACGGAATTTCATTATTAAAGTGGGGGGGGGGGCAAAATCCTTATTATAAGGAAAATTTCCAGTTCAACAATCATCATGATATTTTTAGCTCTACTCGTCCTTCAAGCCCAGTGCTTTCAACGCTAGTCGCCCATATCAATCTACTAAATATAATTTGTAGTAGGTCAACTGATACAAAACCACGATTTTTAAAGGATAAAAATGCATGGCTAGAAACACTCCTATGGTGTCAAGAAACTCATCCAGAAACACACTCGACAAAAAAAAAATTATACATTTTTACACAAGCACGTTAGAGAAATGGAACTCTTGCCCAGATGTGATTAGACATTCAAAAAGGTGCCAGAAAGATACTTTGACGTTAAAGAACAACCCCAAAATAAAGTGGCTGAAGAAACATAACAAGAAAAATAATATAAGGATAATGACTGTCACTCGTAGAATCGAAAGATTGTCCTAATTAGGATGTAAGCTTTGGAACAATCTACCAGAGAACTTGAAAAACCTAAATAATCTTAATGCATTTAAGGTAAAGATCAAAGGTAAGGTAAGTTCACAAGATAATTGCAACTGCAGGTTGTGAAGAGCCTTTGTATCGGGTTCCTAACATGGCTGACATAAATTATCTGACATGAATTACCTATTTTCAATTATTTATCTAATTTAATCCTAGGTATTTTAATTCATTTCTTTTGATCGCTTCTATATCATTGTATGATATTACCAATTTTTAAATGGCTTTGAAAAAAGCAAACATTTAATTTTTCGAAATCTTTTCTTCTGATACTCTTTAGAGCATAAAATGTCAGAACATAGATCGAAAACTCTAAGCTAGGAAATATTTATACCCAGTTGTGGATCGAAATAGGCCAATCAGAAACGCGAGCACATGACTGATGAGGTTCCCCAATCAGTGCCGCTTGCCTATTGAAGATGTTATGTTACACGGAGTCCTAACGTGAAAACGAACTCCCTCTGTCTACACAATAGCGGCTTTTTCGCGGTTATGTAGAAAAAGTCCAAAACTGCTAGATGGAACAACGATCAGTGATGGCGTCAGGGGAGGGCTAGGGGGGCTACAGCCCTTCCGTCGGAAGCATCTAGTCCCCCATCGGAGGAAATTTTGGGTTATTGACGGAGCAAATTTGACAAAATAACGTACGAAAACTGCTTATTTTAGTCATTTTAGCCCCCCTGTCGGAAGCTCCAGCCCTTCTGTCGGAAGATTTCTGGCGCCACCTCTGACAACAGCATCTCTACAACACATCTTGATATGCTGATCTCCTATCTCATCTTACCCTATCCATTATAACAGGTGATTCTATGCGACCTGACATACCACTGATTGCTTCAAAGAAAATCATTTATATCATTGAACTTGGCTTTGAGACAAATCTTAATGTTAATAGTTTTCTCAGTAAAGATAAGTACAAATTTTTTTTAAAAACTCTTTTCGTATAAGTCCGTAAGATTTGTTAACCTCTCAATTAGTTCTTTTGGCATCTTTGGGCAATCATGTTCTACTTTTAAAGAAATGCTTGACGATTATGCTGTTGAAAATCCCATCGTCTTCTTTCTATCTTGGTTTGTCAAAGGTCATAATTTGATGCACCTACTTTATATTCTGCCGTAAAATCAAACCTTGGCCTAACCCAGAGCCTCTTTCCATTATTATTCTATCTCAACCTATACCACCAGCACCACTACAATCGGGCAGCATTTACTGGGAAACTCAGATTGTTTTCAATCAGTAAGATTGGAGGGGGCAAAGGCAATTTGAGCCAGAGGAAATTTGGAGGTTTACACCCTTTTGAATGCCAGAAAACACCCTTTTTCAAAGATATTTTTTGCCACTCAGGGGGGGGGGGGCTTCTAGCTCCTTTGAAAATTAAAATCCAGCAACAACAACATCTGTTTATGTTTTGACAGGAAGGCAAAGAAGAAGTATAAAAAGACAATAAGATGGCATCAAGGAACATTTCAAAATTGAACATGGTTTAAATATTTCAAATTCCAAGTGCATGACATTGTAAGAAGATCAACAAATATTTTAAATTAAATCATTATTGGTCTTTGTGGTAGGCACATATTATAATGTGCCACTTGATCCCAAAAATCTGGGCCCTTCCAACCACACCAGCCTTTGCTTGTGACAGTTTTAAGGTCCTCATGACCAGTGTAATGTGGATCAAGAATGAGGAATCTGATTTGGCCAGTAGATTCATTGAAATGTACACCTAATATGGTATGTGCCAGAACACCACCTCCAATCATAACTGGTGTCCCTTGCTCTTCAAAGTGTTCAATAAGCTCTCTTCCTTTACAAGCCATTTCTGCACCAGTTGACACATGTAAAATCTTTGACTGTACATTGATTAGCTCTTGAAGGCATATTCCTACTTCAAATGACCCAATCCATTGTCTTGATCCACTAAAGTTCTTTGGTTTATCACCTACTGAAACTAGCACATCTTGGACTTCCTTGTGTGATGGAACACTTCTTTTGGTATAGCCTTGGAGTCTAAACCAAGAGCATAATGTTTGCAATGAGCGGTAGGCACAGCCCCAGCCATTATCGTCAAAACGATCTTGCATGTAGTGATGATATGCATATTTTCCTTTGACCACTGCACAAATTCCACCTTCAATGCCAGACCTCAATCCTTGGTGTGGGTTAATCAGGAAGCCTAAATTTGTAGCCTCATAACAGTTTTGAATCGTCTTAAAAAGTGGCCTATCAGTTGGTAGTATAAATGAATTGTGATAGCTTTTTCTAAGATCTAGCAACTTTTCTTCTGGGATATCTGACCCATTGAGACTCTTGACTGGATAAATCAGTGTTACATAGTGGCACAGGTCGTGGGGATGGAAGTGAAAGGTCTTTAATTGACAAAAATCAAACTTCTCCTTATACCTTTTCATAGCAAAAAGCAGTCCTTTGGCTTGTACAGATAGACCTTCAAGAGCCAAATGTATCAATGATTCTACTTGTTCTGATTTATCAACCATGATGATGATATCCATGGTCAGATCAAATTTTAAAACCTCATCTACTGATGAATTAAACATTAAAATTGGGGAAACAGCCTCCGAATCTCTACTGCAATTTGAAGACATGCTTAGCATCATATCAAGATCTATTAGCCCATTTCTTTGTGCTATGATGTCTGTCTTGAAAAAGTCACTAAATTTGATATCAAGAGCAGTATTATTCTTAATGAGTTTTCTGTTCTCCCCCTTGGATGTCAACAATATTTCATTGTCCGCCAGCTTTGAAAGTATTCTATTTTGCTCCTGAAAAATACTAGCATCAATATCGGTCAAGTTCAGTTGACAAGGCAGGCTACATCGGAGACGAAAATGAAGCTTCTTGTCAAGGAAATCTGTAGCTACTGTTTTACCAACATGAACAGAAAACACAGTCTTTTCATTTTCAACATCAGGATCATTACAGCAGCTCAAAAACTCCACTTCAAAGTGACCATCCTTTGTGACTTTGCAGACAATAACTTTTTCAGTTTCACCATTTAAAACTTTTGGAATCTGTGGAACTAGAATATGCTTGGCTAATCTACAAAGGGGCTCTTTGATTTCGTCCTGGAAATAGTAGATACCTACTATGCCGAAGCCTGTAGGAATGCTTACCAGGATTTGATTTATTTCTTGCTCAATTGCACAGGGTACATCATGATTTGCGGCCTCATGGTGATAGTGGATTGACTTTACAGTTGCTGGGTTCTGAATATCAATATTTTGACAGTTAACGACACTCACAATATCAAAATTATCTTTTTCTAAGCCTCCTAAAAAGATTCCCCATGACTGATCCGAAGAACACAGCCTTCTCTGGACGGACTCATCGATATTCACTGCTACATCACATTCACTTTCATTCGCCATTTTCAAAATGATCAGTACGTGTAAGTACCTCTTGCCGAATACGAGGTTAAACCAGGGGCTATCACTGATCTAAAAAAAACTGGATCGCGCATCCTATTGTTCTCAAACCTTAGAAAGTGCGGCCGGCGAATTTCAATCGGCGCCATGCGCTTGTGACCACTTCAGCGGGAAAATGAATAGCTAGGATGCTGGAGAAATAGGTATTCGCTGCATTTATTTTGCCTGTAAGAAATGCGAAATAGGGAACTGACGATGAAAAGGGAATAAATGACAACAAGGACCATGAGAATCAAGGATTGCAAATAAAAAGGAAGCTACGCTCCACTTTTTCACCGTGAGTACACTACTATTTTTATTTTAGTAGGCCAAGATCGTTGTATTTCTTAGGTACAGTTATGCCCCCTTTAAACTGGGTTTTCACGAGTCTGGACCAATTCAAATCCTTTTGCTAAAAGGATCAAAAGTGATACGGTTAGCCGTATTAGTTTTGCTACGGATAGCTTGGAGTGGTGTAAACGGGAGGCCAATCCGTATCACTTTTGATACGGATCAACAAGTCATCTGTGGCAGTGTAAACGGGGCCTTAGTTTCCCAAATAGATTGCTACAGTTAGTTACTTTGAAGTAGGTAGCTATTTGGAAAGTCTTGCCTGGTTTTAGATACCCAAATAGATTGCTATAGTTAATGTTAATGAATTCAGTAATAATTTTTTACATGGCATTAGGCCTAATCTTTGTTTCCCCATGGAAAAATTGAAATGTGGGACTGCCTCATAGAAGAATGTATCAGATCTATAAAGGCGCAGGCTAATAGATACATGAAAAATACTTTTATATTTTATTTTCTAGGTAGAGCAACTTGTGTGCATCTTTGACTTGGTGGATTGACAAAGACATGTGCCTTCACCACTTGTTTTGAAATGAAATTAACATCTGTTTATAAAACCATAAAGGTTTTCCATTTTCAAGTTTTGGAAAGGAACCAATCACTGAGATGTTATGATGTGACTAAGCAATGGAAGTTGTTGCTAGCAGCTGAATTTTACTAAAGCAAAACAAACTGCAATATTCATAACATTAATTTTGGAGTGAAAACAGTAATTTAGATTGTTTCAGGAGGTTCTTCAAACATATTTTACAAATTCAAATGTTTGCTACAAAAATTGTGTATATGTTTAGAACATTTAGCAGTAAAATGAATTTATTTTGTGAGCTTTATGCAGTAATCTACGATTATTTCTAGAACAAAATTACCAATGTAATCAAATGTTTTGCTGTAGTAAGCCTTTTTTATGAACCGTATTAGTCTTCAGTTCATAAAAGTGTTGTCACTCATAGCTTTTGTCTCAGGGCAGAAGGATTTATCTCTGAAATATGAAGGATTTATCTCTCAATATCTCTCAAAGAGCTGTATACATAACAAATTCAAAAACCTCAAATTTTTAAATCACAATCTTAAAATTCATTTGAAACAAAGTCACAATCTTTTAATTACTATTCATTGTAATATCTGTTACTTATGAAGTTCTAGCTCAGTAAACTATATATGATTGTATCCCTCAATAGCTGTCAAGCCATTCAATTGCACTTTATTCTGCAAAATAAAGAAAAGCTTTGTCAGAGGTAATATTAAAATTTTGATTCAAAAGTACAACCAGGCATATTCTTTAAGGCTTATTTTTCAGAGGAATATGATATAACTCTTCAATTAGTCCTAAGTCACAAACATAGTACAAGCGGTGATTCACTTGAATGTAAGCATGTTTCATATCACATCATTTCAATGTAAAATGTATTGCTTAAACAATGTAGAGGGGCACAAAAAGTTAGAGGTTTGAAATCACGGCTAGACTTGTCTGGAAAGAGCAGCTACACAAATTAAACATATTTTCTATCTACAAGAAACTTAGTACTACACTGGGGTTGCTCCCAAGATGTTTCTGGGGGTTATATCCTATCAGAGAAACAATTAAAATTAACTTTTACATATGAAAGCTACTTATATTCTATGTAATTATCGCTGCTACGTGGCTTTTTCATGGCAATTTACGGCTCTAATTTGATCAAATAAGTAAAAGGTAGCTAGTCATATAGTCACTTGCCTGCTGATTCGAATAAATATATTTGCATCGTTGGACTCTCCGTGG